TCACAAAGTAGAATTTTTGCTCACAAGACTCCACAGCTTAGAGGGAGCATGGGATGGGTGATATGCACTTTCTGTTTCTTTTTGCTTCCATGTGTATTTATTTATAGTCTGTCTCTCTTACTGGAACTCAAGGTACATTACACAGAGTGAGTCAATACAATCAACAGGATGGGACATTCAGTAAAAAAAGGAATAGGATTTGGACTGATGCAGGGCGTGAATGTTAACCTGCCACATTAAATGATGCAAAATTGCATAGCAGGATCCAATTTACAGCAAACTATATAAAGTAATATAGACCATAATCCCTCAAAATTTGTCCAAGTAACTTTGTGAATCATTTTGTACAGTGCTACCCTACTGCCTGCATGGAAAAGCCCTCTTTACTAATTCAGTTTTGCATAGTTTGTGGAAAGCCATGAGAGTGGGAGCCTTCCTAACCTCCTCAGGCAAATCATTCCACAAGGTGGGGGCCACAACAAAGAAGGCACGTGTATGGGCAGTTATTGATTTTGCCCATTTGCAGGTTGGCGCCTGCAGAAAGCCCTGCTCTGATGAGCAAAACTGTCATGGCAAAGTACAGGGGTTATTTTGTAGAAAAAGAGGTGCAGGAGCTCATTAGCATAACTCATTAGCATATGCAACACCCCCTGACATAACCGGAAGTGTGTCAGAAGGCAACACCCACTGCTCTGGCACCACTGGACTCTTTGCTAGCTATGGGGGGGGGGACATGCAGATCTGCCCTCACAGAGGAGGGAGAGATTGTACCTGAATAAACCTTGGCCTTAAAGGTGTCACTGGACTGTTTTGGATTGCTATTTGGGGGCGGGGGGGCTCTGCAACTTATCTGGCTGCTTCTTGCTCCTTGTGGCCTGGGGCTGCTGGGAGCAGGAGGTGGGGTTTGTTGCATGTCCCTGCCCCTTGGGCTCTTTACTGCCGGAGCTCTGTTCCTGTCTGCTCCTGCAGGAAATGACCCCTGGCAAAGCATATAAGGAGAGATGATCTTGCAGATATGAGGGTCTAGGCCCATGAAGGACTTTGTATGTGATAGAAGAAGAGTTGGTTTTTATACCCTGCTTTTCTCTACCTGAAGGAGTTTCGGAGCAGCTTACAATCACCCTCCCTTCCTCTCCCCACAACAAGCATTTGTGAGGTAGATGAGGCTGAGAGAGTTCTGAGAGAACTGTTTATTTATTTATTTATTTATTATTTGTATTTTTATCCCGCCCTCCCCGTAGGCTCAGGGCGGCTTACACAGCATGTCGCCGAAACATGTAGTAAAACAGTAAAAACATTAAAAACATTAAATAACATTAACTCTTAAAACATCATACATACAAACAACAATTGGTGCTCGGCTCCTAAAGCCAGATGGCCGTCAGAAGTCCCGTTCTCTTTCCGAGTGTCCACATCCGGTGACCCTGTCCACAAGCTTAGGGCATAGATGGTGATGATGGTATACTGATGGTGTAATGGCGGTGGGCGCTCCCTTTTAAAAGACTGAGGGGAGTCCGTCTTGCAGAGCCCTGATCTCCTCTGGGAGCTCGTTCCACCAGATAGGAGCCGCCACCGAAAACGCCCTATTCCTGGTCACTACTAATTTGGTAACCCGTGGACCTGGTACGTCCAATAGGTTCTGGGTCCCAGACCGTAGTGCTCTTGGGGGCACAAGGTCACCCAGTAGACTTCATGTGGAAGAGTAGGTAATCAAACCCTGTCTAGATTAGAGTCTGCCACTCTTAACCACTGCACCATGTTGACGAATACTTTAAATTGAGTCCAATGACTGATGGGCAGCCAGTAGAGTGATTGCAGAATGGGAGTAATATGCATTTCCATCTACCTGTTTTTATTGATGGGTTGATTATTTGTTTGTACTTTTTTATATCATTTATACATAATATGGAAGTACAGTGTACATTATTTATACATATTGATGCACAAAATAATGTTGCATGGAAATTGAAAATGGCACAAATATAAAGACTCCCAGTTTAATTTGCACAAGTAAAAATAAAATCAAAATGGGAATTTCTGAGACGAACCAGTGGGGATGAGACATTCAATAGCATCCCTAATAAAGTGTACTAAGATAATCAGACATAGATATTCTGTTTAAATACATTTCACAGCCTCCAGTACTACATTTAAAATTTAAATATTAATATATAAAATGTTATTCTTAAATTAACATTTTAATGAGACTAATGTTGACTTTGCACAGTATAAGATTAAATAATGTTAAATAATTACATGTCTTAACATATTTAATATTCACCAAGGTATTATTTTTTGCTTTGGAAAGACATTAAGGCAACTCTATTGTTATCAGAGATATTTCTGAGCTTTACAGTTTATTTAAAGTAGGTCAGATAGTTATTGCCACTCATTTCTGAAAACCAGTTTCATTGATCTTAAATAGTTCTACAGCTGACTTCAAGGTTATACAGACCATGGCATATCAATCTTCTGTTGCCAGACTAATGGTTAAGATAACCATTCTGTAGAATTTGAACTGGATTTTGTAAGTGAATTGTATAAGTTAGAAGATGGATGTTTGCCTTCATCCTAGGTTAAGTTTTGTTATGTTTACACCATTCCTCCTCTCTCTGTTGAGGTTCAGCTACTGGCATAACAAGTGCTACTATTTGAGCTCCTTTGCTCAGGGTGCAGACCAGTGCCACCCTCAATCTGTATTGGACACTGCGAGTCTGTCCCCAATCCTTGCATAACGCTACCCCTCTGCCCCCTGCCTTGGCAGCAGTTGAACAACATTCTTTGTTAAGTTCAGGAAGCCTAATCAGCCAATCAGTTGACAGCAGCAGTGGCCAAGTAATAGATTTCAGACACCTTCTGGACATTCTTCCTCTACTTTGAAATATTGGTTAACAACACTTTATTATTATGGCAGGAAAGTTAATAGCTTTCACTTTAAAGTTGTACCCTACCAAAATGAGGCCAAAAAACCTCAAAGTTGGCTTTAATTGTTACAAACTGCTCTCCTCACCAAGTCTAGTTTAAGTTTCTGAGGTATAAATATAGAGGCTTTTTAAACTACTGATCTAAAAATTGGGTTGTTATATTCTGTTTTGGATTGGATATCAAATGCTTCTCAGCCTGTGACATTTTAATGCAGTTTGTCTTTTCAAATAGGTTTACCTTCTAATGCATGAGACAACAGGACTTTGCTCATCAGACGGTGCATACATTTCAGAGCAGTTGTTACCTAAAATATTACCATAAGGCATAAGAAAACACACGATTTAAGTTGCCTTTCGTGAACATAATTAAGAATTAATAAGCCTGTACCGGTGGCTAGTCCTCAGAATTTCCACTGTTTTGCCTTTTGTGACCTGTGTTATTAAAAGTCCATTATTTTTACAGACTTTATTAAATTGGATCTTATTAAAGCATTCTATATTTGCATTTGGTCTTTCATAATTCATTATTATTATGACATTTACTTTTTACCATCAGATCTGAAAACATATCATAAGCTACCCTTTTCTCTTGAAAGAAATGCTAATTTCAAACAGTCCTCTAATGGAAGAGAAAAGCTTTATCAGTTTTTTCATTTATTCAAGATCGTGTGAAGAATACTAATGCCAGACTTCAGTATGCTAATAGATGAAAGCTTTTTTTTGGTCAAAAGCTTAGAAATATTGTTTTTAGACTATGCAAGTATGAAACTGAAAGAAGGCTACTACTGCAGCTGAAAACTGAACTCCAGAGTACAATTCTTGATTTGTGTTACTACTCAATCCACAATTTACCTAAAATGTTAAGCTTGTATGGAAGTAACATATAGTCAGTTAAAAACTCTACATCCGCAATGGAATGTGTGGATTTTTGAACTGCCTTGTGCCTTCCACTTTTAATGGAATCTTTGCAACAAATGACAATATTGAGAATCCATTGGAGGCATCATGATGTCACATCTGGGCGGCACGCACACGCTTTGCGTGCACGCACGCACTCAAGACACCGGGCAGGAGCCCCCCTCCACCAGGTAAAAAAGATTTGGCAACCCTACGAAGTGAATAGGGGAAGTGGGAAACAGAGAGAAAGTGAGCTGGGGGCCTAGGGCTATCCCCCCTCCCCCAATTCTCTGCAAGATAATTCAGAAGTAAGTCCACATTTGCATGAGATTTGAGCTTCATTGGACTCTGTACAGTTTACTACCAAGAAAACAGATGTAGGAATGGACTCAATAGAAATTAAATGGAAAATTAGTAATGTCACTTTGAAATGCACAGCTTCCCTGAAACAAAAACAGGTAAGGTTTCTAAAGGTAAACTTCAAAAATATGTGTTCTGTCCTGAAATTAAATGCTCCTTTTGTGCACACTTTTAAAAAATCCTGGCTTCTGAAATCATGTAAAAACCAGATAAGCCCTTGATGACTACCATAGATCAGTCACTAACCTAGGGCACTGCTTAGTGTCAGTATGGCCTTGATCTGTGGATTTAGGTATCTGCAGATGGGGGCCACATGTCACTATTAGCTATATAGATAATGATGAATCACATCATTCCTTGATGCTAATAAATGACTTCAGTTGTCCATTTTTGTAACAACAGCATGTGAACAGGGTATGGAGCACTAGGATTCCTACCCCCTTTGCTCAGGCAAACATATGTCTTTGAACAAACCTGATCTTTCACTGAATTTTATCTGAAGAATGTTACTTATTCCATTCAGCTCCTTTATGCCCAAGAAAAAAGTAGTTTGAATTTATTTGAAAATGTGGTACAGGTCTTACTGTGGGAAGATCAGTTTGCTCATGGTGCGAATTTGATAATTTTGAATATGATATAAAACATATATATTGTACTACAGAGAATGGATAAAAGGGAACATTAGTGCAAGATGGTCACAGAATGACTTTAAGGATACATAGGGCCTGATAATTCGTAGTTTAGTAACTCCCTTTTTCTTTTAAAAGATTTATGTTGCCTACAGAAATGCTCTTACTTCTCAATTTTTCTATTCTTTAGGTTTCTAACAATGTGTACAAGACACTTTGGTAGTGTTGTAGCTCAAACAATTCGAACACAGAAGACTGATCACTTTCCACTGTTCCTGATTATTATGGGGAAACGATCTTCGAATGAGGTGCTGAATGTAATACAAGGTACAGTATGTTTTCTGTTGGAACTTATTTCATAGAGGAAAATTGTACTGCTGTTTTTTAATCATCTGTTGTCTGTGTAAAGTGCCTGGAGCAACCGTGATCAGCAGTAAAGGCAGCATGTAAATATTTTAAAAATAAAGTTATTAGCTATCAATTTTTTAAACAGTTTTAAAATTAGTTTTAAAATAAAAAGTACTTTCCCTTTAATATTTATTTATTAATTATATGAATCGCCCCACCCCTGCTACTGCAGGGCTCTGGGCAATCTTAGTTTATCCTTCTCAGAAAGTAAAAACAGTTACTAAGTTGTGAACTGACAGATTCTGTATAAAAAGATCATAGAAATAAGAGCCTAGGGTTCCAGTATTTAAAAGACAGGCAGAGTGTATAGATTTTTGCGTGATCAATTTTTTGTTCACACTAGAAGCTGACTTTATGATTATCATGTCTCAGCCTTGTCTAACTTGTAGGGCTATTTTGAGAATTAAATGAGGTAAAGAATGTAACGTAACCAATCCTGAGCCCTTAAAATACAGTGGAAAGGTGTGTGCATTTTAAACTGTCAACATTAACCAGTTTGCAAAATCTGTAACCTGGAATTCCAAAATTTTGAAAGCTTAGTGATTTGAAACAGATCTTTGTGCATGCATTTGAGTGCAAATTAGTCCATAGTTTCAGTAGTTTTTTTAAATCCTTTATAAATTCTTCATATTTATTCATAAAGGTATCATAGAGTATCTTCCAATAGATGGCCCATTCGCATTTCATACCCACATAAGCCAAAATACCTTGATTGTGCAAAACTAGTATTTTTATACTTGTGGTCTGACATGCATTATGCAATATCTCCCTTATAATATTATCCAGTAGTCCACCAGGTATGAAGCAAAGCCTGATAGCCACAGCCAGTGGACTTGGCCTATACATAATTTATTTCTCTTCTGTACTTCCAGAGTTTTTTGGGTGAGAGGCACTGTCTCTTGGAAGTACAAGTCTGGAAACTTGACATGCCACACAGTCTACAAAATCCAGGGCTATGGGATTTCCCCCTTCTTGCAGTTTAACAACTGTTCAGCTGAGAGGCTACAAGACGGAACGATTTCCAGGGACTATGAGCAATATGTATTAGTGTCTAAAATGAAAATGTGTTGAAGAAGTTGGGTAACAACCCCTTTTCTCTAAAAGTACTTTGAATTCTACATTTAAAAAATATAGTTAGAGCTAACCATCTACATAAAATCAATGCCTGAGATGGGGGATGTTTTTAATTTTTTTTATTTAAATTTTTAAAAATTTCTCTTCTTGGTTAGCAATTTTGGCTTTTCTCAGATACAAAAACACAACCAAAAGCTTAAGAACAAATATTTTTTGTTTGGACGTACATTTGCAGCGACTCGTTAAAAGAAACTTGTTTTTAAAGCATTTTCTTATTCTATCTATTCTTTTTAAAAAGGCAAACAGGTATTCCTTTTGGATTAATTATAGAATGACATTCTTTTAAAAATAATTTTAATAATATGGAGTTCAGCTATCTTTCTTTGTTGCTAGGTAACACAACAGTGGATGAGCTAATGATGAGGCTGATGGCTGCAATGGAGATCTTCAGTGCACAGCAGCAGGAAGACATAAAGGATGAGGTGAGAGCTGGACATCACTGCAGACACCTAGTGGGTTTAGAGTAAGGGCCTTTCCAGACAATTAAAAAGTATGGGATTCCATCTTCAACAGAATGGTGCAGAACTAGATGCTAAGGGACAGCCTCTGCATCTGTTGTAGAACAGAAAGTTTTGGTAGGTCGTTATTGTAGGGGTTGGAAAAGCTGTGTTTTAAATAGCTGTTAAAGAAAATGCCCGTAAGCAACTATTGAAAGATGTAAGGAAGTACTGTCCTGCATTGTATTGATCACCTGTTAGTGTGATACCATACTCTTAATGGTCTTCGCCTTTCTGCAGCTAGCATCACTGCCTGTGACTTTCTGTGAAGGAAATAAGAGCAATTGGGCATTGTCATGGTGGAGATGAGAGTACACAGCCTTCATAGGACTAAATTTTTAAAACAAGCAAAGTTTATGACATAATACAACATATTAAAAGGGAAAGTGCTGCTTTTTTTGGTGTTTGCTACATGTTAGGTGAGCTAGCTGAATACTGAAGTCTGCACAAAAAGAGTGTTTAGTCTCTAACCTGATAAAAAGTAGCCATTTAAAAAATAAAATTAAAAATGTCCAAAGTAGTATGGGGGAAGAGGAGTTCTGTTGAAGTGACTAGGTACTTGAACACCAACAAGACTATGCTGTTATTTGGCCATATGGACTGAAACTCACACAACATGGGTCATTGCAATGAGGAAGTGGTTCAAGTTGCCCTCCTTCTTCTTGTATGGGATCCTCTATCACTAGCAGAAGGCTTTTTGCACTTCTGCAGCCCAAGGATCCAACCATTATTTTTACGTCTCTTTCTTAGTCTAGCTTATGAGTTTTAGTTTTACACCACAAGAAAATTGCCGCAATATTTTTATTTCCTACCTTTAAATTACAGATGGGAAACAAGCATACTTTAGTGTTCTTAAAAGGTCAAATGAGGAAAACAGCCATTTTAAAACCCCCAAAACAAATTGCTTACTACCCTGGAGGTCTCTTCATGCAAAATAAAATGTGCAAGTGGAAGTACAAAATTTTCCTGCCAGTGTTTCAATCACACAAAAATAAACACAAGCCAGGTATACAGTAGTGAGATGTTTATCTGTTACTCTGTAAATTGAGAGTGACATTTGAAAGTAATGAAGTACTTAGTTAGGAATTTGTAATAATAGGTGTGTTGCCATTCAAGATTATTGTTATCCTGGGTGTAGAGACATTGATTGACAATAATTCACTAAATACATTATTGAGCCATTTAACTCTTCTGTCTCGTTAGTACGAGATTTACTGATTATATTGTGTGCTAATCTGAATGTATGCTGCCTGCATGTATATCCACTACTTCAGGTTCCCCCCTTCTATTTATTTCCCATAACTCATTGACAATGAAATTGACTTTAATTCCTTTCCATTCTCAATAGAAATTTTAATTATCAGGGTTACATGATTAAAACCTGTGGCATAATATAATTGAAAATGATATTGCGTTTTAACAGCAAGATATCAGGAGAATAATACATATATATTCATTTTTTAAAAGCAATTTCCTGAAAACTGTAAAATTCAGTGTTTTGGGTATAACAAACTGATTGGGTGTACATTTGGCAATAACCAGGCTGGAAAAATACCCATAAAAATACCTTATCAGTGTTTTCCAGATTTTTTTCAGCTGGTTAGTGAGTGGGCTACTTATTCGACTATCCAAAAATGGCCGACCTGAAAAATCCCAAATATATTCAGGATTTTTCCGGGACCACCAGATAGCCACAGTTAAAGGGCATTTAAAAGGCTCTCGGTCCTTTAAATGTGAGCCCTTTAAATGGCTTTGGAGTTTACTCGCCATGGAGTTGCATGGCTTGGAGAAGGCATTTAAAGGGACCACAATCCCTTTAAATGCCTTTCCTGCCTCCATTGGAAACTATGAAGGATGGGGGCACCTTCTTTGAGGTCCCATAGAATTGGACCCCCTGGTCCAATCTTTTCGAAACTGGGGGGGGGGTTGAGGAGAGCCACCAGCAGTTATGCTGCAGATTTGGTGCCTCTACCTCAAACATAGCCACCCCCCCAAGCGGGATCGCCTATTAGCCTATTGACCATTGGGTATAATGGAGCCGGAAATATTTCGCAATCCTGAATATTTATCGAATCCAAATATCATAGTGGTATTGGGATTCAGGAATATTGGGAAATACTGATATTTTTTGAGTTTAATATACCAGAACCCCAAAAATACCAGGTTTTGGGGGGTTTTTTTTGCATAGCCTTAATTGGGATGGATCAAGACAGAAGCATACAGGGAGGAAAAATGGTCCTGGAAAACAGCCCCAGCCCACAATCCCAAAGGAGGGAGGGAGGGAGGGAGAAAAAGTGTTCTCAGCCAGCCCATGTGGGCCTCTGCCAGGCACCTCTTTCTCTACCCTGCAGGGGATGAGGGCTACTTTTCCTGGTGGTCTTAATGGCCAATCTGCCCCTGGATCAAGTGATCAATGAGCACAAGGATTGTGAATCTTTCCTGCATTTCGTCCCCCTAGCAGTCTCTTTCAACCCTGGGAAACTTGATTCCCAATGCTGCAGGATTGATGGGTATAATAGCTATGCAGGTCAGGGTACTGTGCTGAAGAGGGGGAAAGTGGCAAAAATTATGCTGTCCTTCTTGTTACCATCAAGAGAGGCTCTCATAAAAATATGGTACCTACTGAGATCCTTCTTGTTGTTCAGTCACACAGTCAAGTCCGACTCTTTGTGACCCCATGGACCACATCACACCAGGCCCTCCTGTCTTCCGTCGTGCTCCGGAGATTGCATAATTTCATGTTCGTGGCATCAATAACACAGTCTAACCATCTTATCCTTTGCCTTCTTCTTTGACCTTCAATCTTTCCCAGCATCAGGGTCTTCTCCAGTGAGTGCTCCCTTTACATTTGGTGGCCAAAGTATTTGAGCTTCAGCTTCAGTATCTGGCCTTCCAGGGAACAGTCAGGGTTGATTTCTTTTAGGATTGACTGATTCGATCTCATTGCAGTCCAAGGGACTCTCAAGAGTCTTCTCCAGCACCATAATTCAAAAGAATCTATTCTTCAACACTCGGCCTTCCTTATGGTTCAACTCTTGCAGCCATACATTACTACTGGGAACACTGTAATGACTTTAACTGAAGTGGTCAACAACATAGAAGGGCCAACAGAACTGTAAGATATCTGAATGTGAAATAGTTTTGGTTTGGAAAATGGTTTTACAAGTAAAATTTCACCTACAGGTACTCTATATTGCTAGTAGGGAAGTGACATTGATGGGGAACTGAAATGAGACTGATGACAAAATCTGCAGGGAGCAATTGATGATTTATTAATGTATGATGCATTTTTCAAAAAGTAGTATAAAAGTAAAGTTTTCAACCCACTCATTTACCCCACACTTGGTTTCATCTCTGCCTTACATTCATTCCCTCTTCCTCAAACAAACCACTTCACTTCTGCTGACCCACCTCAAAACTTTCCAGTAATTCTGTCCTACATCACACTCAAATGTCTTTACTCACTCAGTCTCTTTCATTTGACACACACACATCTTGGAAACACATTAATATTATTTTATTTCACAAAATATGGTAATAACTGTGCAAGAATTAAACAAATGGGAGACCATATTTTAACACCATACTGTTCATCAAAGAAAATATTTACAATAGTCAATCCATATGTATCTTACTAGCACAGAGAGGCTTGGTTCTGATAGAAGAATTTCATGTGCACTAGACAGTCTCTGCCGTGAAACATGCTTCTTCTGCTGCTAAAATTTCTGTTTGCAGAAGGTCAATGCTTTTCAAGTGGGGACTTGTGCAAACAGAAATTTCAGCAGAGGAGGAAGTACACTGCACAGCAGAGACCACCTAGCATGCATGTAACTCAATTATAGAATCCAAGCCAGAAAAAAAGAGAAGTCTTACTTATATAGGAGAAGCAAGGGCAGCTGGATGCAGGAAATGTGTCAGCCCTATTGATAAAAGGGAACCCTGCTTTTCTGTATAGTAAATGTCCAGTGGTTATTTCTTATAGGATACTGGTTTTAAGTTATGATTTGTGAAGCCCACTGCTGGCTGCAAGCTCCCTGTCCTGCTGATGGGGCCACCCACCTGGGCCCAGAACAGGTAAAAGATGCTGCCGATGGAGGTGTACGGGGAGTCATGGTAGGGCAGGCAGAAGGAGAGGCAGGTGCAACTGGTGCCTCTTGTAGTGGTACAAATGGGGCTGGTACGGAGGAGGTGGGGACAGTTGTCATGGCAGGTCCTATATCCAGATGAATGGTGGGACGGCTGAGCAAGTATGGGATGCTTAGGATGGTAGCAGGGGGAAAGTGCTGGTCATGGCCCTGCCATTTCACCTTTGCCTTTCACTTTCCTTCTTTCCTCTGTTATTTGTAAAGCCTCATCAGACAGCCACTTTGCTTTCTTACATTTCTTTTTCTTTGGGATGGTGGTGATTGCTGCCTCCTGTACTATGTCACAAACCTCAGTCCATAGTTCTTCAGGCACTCTATCAAATGTAGTCCCTTAAACCTGTTCTTCACCTCTACTGTGTATTCATAAGGGATGTGATCTAGGTTAAACCTGAATGGCCTAGTGGTTTTCCCAACTTTCTTCAGTTTAAGTCTGAATTTTGCAATGAGTAGCTCATGATCTGAGCCACAGTCAGCTCCAGGTCTTGTTTTTCTGACCGTATAGAGCTTCTCCATCTTTGACTGCAAATGATATAATCAATCTGATTTCAGTGTTGCCCATCTGGTGATGTTCATGTATAGAGTTGGCTCTTAGGTTGTTGGAAGAGGTGTTCACCATGACCAGCATGTTCTCTTGACAAAACTCTGTTAACCTTTGCCCGATTTCATTTTGTTCTCCAAAGCCAAACTTGTTCGTTATTCTGGTTACCTTTTGACTTTAGCATTCCAATCCCCTATGATGATGAGGACATCTTCTTTTGGTGTTAGTTCTAGGAGCTGTTG